CCCCCCCCCCCCCCCCCCAAAGCACACACTTACACTCGAATGCCCTGAAATTATTGTCCCATTTGTACACATTATAATACACACATACCTCACTCCCGCTGCGTATTTGATAGACACCCATACACATGGACACACACGTTGTCTTGAGGGAAGATAATGATCACACATACATAACATCAAACATACAGTAGACACATGAGAGTAGACATACACATGGGAAAATCCTCAAACAAAACAAATAGATGCCCACATGTAAATGTGCATGCACATAAACAGACCACCTTCATGCCCACCCACACTGAGTACTCTATGTTGTATGTTTGTTCTGATTATATAGTTTCAACATCTCAGGAGAGAGTGAAAGAATGAGAAAATAAAAGGAAAGTACAGACAACAAGAGAGGAACAAAAGAGGGACAGCTTGCATTTGGGTGCAACATATAATATGTTAATCTAATCCTATATCTGATATAGGATGAAATAGGATTTTTCAACTGTGCTATCAGAGGACAGAAAGGAAAAAAGGAGAGAGAAATGAGTGAAAAACGGGGGGCGGGTCTTCCCTTACATGCCCGTAAAATGATTTCAAACTACCTGAAACAGAGACAAAGCGAAGTAAAGGTGGTTGGAAGTTTATATGTGTTTGTCAGTGTGAATTTCTGCGTTTGTGCAAGAGACGGTCAGAATCAGAGGCTAAGATGGAGACAGAGGGACTGTGAAAGCGAGACAGCTCATGGATAGATGAGGGTTTTCATGCAAATATAACATTTGGGACGGTAGCACGTGCTGCCATTTGCATACTCATTCACCCCGACTTGTTTATAAGTGAATAAATCCAGCGCTGCTTGGAGTACAACAGCTGCTGTTGGGCCACTCAGAGAACCATTTATTCATACACGCGCATACACACACTCAACTGGTGTACAGGTCCCAGCTGCACCCCTGGCATTGCTATGCCACTATACATACTTGTGTGTGAGTGTGTGCACGTGCACTGATACTCGTAAATGTATTAATGTGTTGCTTTGTATGTCTGTGTTTGTGAAGGTGTGTTTCTTTGCGTGTGGGTGTTTGTGAGAGCATGTTTGACTACATATGCTCACAGATGTTTGCGTGTGCTTTTGTATGTTTTGTGTGTGTGTGTGTGCTCAAACCCTCACCTCTGAGGTGTTGACTCGTCCCTCCTGGAAGGAGCAGTCGCTGGCGTCCTGCGTGCACATGTGGCGATATTTGCACCAGTGACAGGGGAAGTTTCCATTAACACATGAGAGGCACCTGGAGGGGGTGAGAATGTGAGAGGCAGAGGAGAGAAAGCAAGAAGGGTTAATGTTGTAATGTTTAAAGCAATAATCACCAAAAAATCATTTCAAATGGAATCCTTTTTTCAAACGTTTTCCTACAATTTTCTTTTCCACTTCCTTTTTTCTTTGTTTCCTATGTTTCCCCTGTTTATGTTTACATTTTATTTCAAAAAAGGATCATATCCGGGTGCCCGGTTAGCTCAGTGGGTAGAGCTGGCGACCCATGTACCAAGGCTGAGTCCTTG